AAACAGAGCTGCACAAACACCTTCATTATTCTTAGTTCCCTAGGCTTTGTGACAGTGCTTTATAATTATGTGAAATACTACTCTCTTTCCAATAGCTTGGAAAGACACAGTAATGTTCCAGTTAATGTGGGGATCTGTGGTTTAACTAATGCCACAGATCTAGTATGGTCAGCTTAGTACATAACCACCTTACAGTGGTTATATAGACTTTTTTCTGTTATTCTGTAAATTATAATAACTTGCATTTTATAATTCAGCTCCTAACCAAAATCCTGGGGAAGAAAATACTATTTTTGTTAGTGTGGTCATTTTAGACCATCTTCTAGTTTTTTTTTTTTTAATAGAAAAATGACACATTATTTTGGTGAGTTCACAATCCACTTATGTTCTAGAATTAGACCATCTGACCTATATCAAATCCATGGCACCAACAGAAACAATCAGGACTGTATGAAGGTTAGATATGGAAGGTTTGAATCAGTTCAGTTAGAAAAGGCTTCATAGACAGGCATATGACTATGTCTTTTTTTCCCAAATTTGACACAGAAATCTGAAATTATTCTATGGTGCCCATCCTTTCAAAATATAAGAGAAATGGCAGTATTCTAGACAGATGAGTGTGGTATTTTTCCACAAAGAAGGAATACTGAGAGTCATGCTGGCATAGTTACCTCTTGGTACCCAATAACTACATACCCATATTTAATGCTAAGTAAGAGAAATGAGCAAAAACAAACCTTATTCTTCCATAAGAACCTAATAGCCTCTCAGAATGCTGTAGAAGAATTCAATGTTAGCTTGCATAGTGCTAGCTAATATCCAGTCTACCGTACATACCCCTGAGCATTCTCCCAGGATCATTTTCTATGGCTCTGGTCTGCTGTTTCCTCTCATCATCTGTACAGTACAGACATTTTGAGATTTGGGGAATAGTAACATGTACGAATTGTAAAAGAAGGTGTAGCTTTCACCACCTTCTTAAGAGAAAGCGTGTCCCTGAGAATAAAATAGAATATAATTTGTAAAGTCTGGTTTTAATTCTGTACCGAGTAGACCCTTAGAACTGCACACATTTTTCCCAAGATTTGTTCCTTGTGAAATAGAGTTGGGAGTCTAGGGATAGGACACTTTTCTAGAACATTTGCATCCCACCTTTCAGAGCTCTCAGTGCTGCTCCGGCCTGCACGTACTGCTTAGAATCAGACTTGAGCTAAGAAGGACTTGGGTATGAAGAGATAACCTCACTGTGGGTAATTAACAGTCTCTTTTCAATCTATCTGAAATAAAATCTTTAAATTGTCAAGCGATTCTCTCTCAAAATGATGCCAGAAGACCCACTAGGTAGTCAACATGTAATATTGTCCTAAAAATTGTGATAAAGTGATATTGATATTGAGATAAAAAATTAATAATATTGCTATCTATACTAAGCAAGATACCTAAAAAATGCTTTTTTTAATCAACAATGAAAGAAACAAAACATTGAAACATATTTGAGTTTTTAGCTTTTAGGTGAGTAAAGTTGAACACTTTTCTCCTGTTACTGTTACTTGAATTTTCATTCATAGTTTTATGAAGTCTCTCTCAAATTTGCATGTAATTTAGTTTGATGACTTTTTTCTAAATTTAGCCCATTAGTAGGTGCACATCTTTTCTTGACATTGCTGGCATATCATGTTGATTTTGCAAGAGTAATTTAACTTTGGAATTACCTTTTTAACTTCTGGCCTGCATTACATTGAAAGGACAGTCACACCTTCTGCATGAAGAAGAACATTGTACATGGATTTTTAAAATTCTGTTCTTCGGGTACCTCCACAGTTGATTTCTTTGGGTAGCTAATGGTGTCAGTCTGTAATACTATAATACTAGAATCAGGCTTACAGGCTTGATTCCATTTATTTCCCAGTGGTTCTTCAGAACGCTGTAGGCAATACTGCTAAGATTTACAAATGAAAGCTGAAGCGATCGTTTTACCCATAGCAGAAACTTCTTAATTATAAAGAGAAATAAAAGTTATTTCACTGGAACCTCCTCTAAAGGAGAAGCACAAGATGATGTTTCTTAAGTAAAAGGAAGGAAGGAGAAACATGCTTTGGCAAGACTTTGTTCTTCTTGCCGGTTTGTGACACTTGGCGTTTATCTTCACAGCACTGTTCAACCTCATACCAGTGGGACTGCGCGTTGTCGCCATCCAGGGCGTGAAGACAGGGTTGTATATAGCCATGAATGGAGAAGGTTACCTCTACCCGTCAGTAAGTAGCAAGCCAGAGATACTGGCCATTCGTTCAGTGTTTATAAATAACAACTGCAGCGTGAACCAAGCCCAGAAAGTTCCGTGTCTATCCATTCTGCCGTCTTCGCTTTAGGATTTGATCTTTAGTGGAATGCTGTAGGAACTGTCGATTTGTTTTTCTTCAGTGTTTGGTAATAAACTAGGTAAGTATATCTAAGAAAACAATGATAGTGTGCTTAAATTGTGCATTGGCCATATTTTAAAAAATGACCTGTTCAAAGAAGATTGATTCATTTTGAAAGACTTGATGTTACTGTCATCTTTTAAATTGTGATGTAAAAATATACTTGTCTCAGAAATTTCCCAATTTTTAAAAATATCTTCCATGAATTTTATTTTTTATTAAGTTATGTTTACTTGACAAAAAAAATTGTGTATATTTCTAGGGGACAATGTGATTTTTTTCTTCTATGGATACACTGAAGAGTCAATCAAATTAATGAACATATTCATTCCCTCACCAAGTTATTTTTTGTGTGTATGGTGAGATTGCTAAAAATATATTCTCTCAAAAGTTTTGAAGTATAGAATACATAATTATCTGTGGTCACCATGCCATGAAAACTTTTTCCTCCCGTCTGAGAAGTTGTACCTTCCAACATCTTCAATTTCTCTATCTCTCCTCCCCTCTTCAGTCCTCTGGTTACCAGCTTCCTAGTCTCTGTTTCCATGAGATCAGCTTTTTTAGATTCCACATAGAAGATCAAAACAATTGTTTTTTAATTAGATGCAAGTTATAGGAATTTTTTTTTAAAAAGATAAAAAAAGAATATTTTTTAAACCAAGAAATCAAATTGTGTAAATATTTTATTAGAAAATAATTATTTCTAATATTGAAATGTATATTCATGCAAATCTAAGCAAATCTCTGTTTTGTGTTAATGGTTATTACAAATTAAGCACTTTTCCAGCCATATGGTCTCTTTTGGGATATTTTCTATTTATACATGATTTGCGTTTTGATACGATGTATCCATATATATTATAATGCAGTGAGAATTCATTTTGCCATAGCTTCAAATAATAAAGATTAGATGAAGGTGCCTCTTCCCATTGTCCATTGTGAAAAGTTGATAAAGTCTTAAATGCCTTAAAATGTGCTCATATTTGGATTTACAGATTATGCATATATAAATTCTTCGAAATTATGTTGTTAAATCTGTTGTTAAATATCACAAACAACCAGGGTCAGCAGATAGTGTAGCAGTTATGTGGACTCCCACAAGGCTGACTATAGTTCGAGTCCCAGACCTGGTAGCTTGAAAATCACGCCAGGCACATGTGTGTGTGTGTCCATGATCACGGAAGGAGAATGGAGGAGAAAGGATTGTAGTAGCCATCCCTCCCGGGGGTTGATTTCTCCCTTTTCTTCTCACCATCTCTGCTTCTCTCTTCCTGGCCAGTGCAAGCATCCTAAGCAAAACCCCCCAAAACAGCCCTCCTAACCAGAAACACACACACACACACACAGAAAAACTGCACATATACAATTATTTCATATATGCACACACGTTTGTGTGTGTGTGTGTGTGTGTGTGTATGTGTGCAGGGGTGTGTGTGTATGTACCCTAACCAGAAATGTTCTCTGATGGCCTTCCATGAAATGCGGTCTATTTTCTTCAGTGAATCTGGGAAATCCTATCAAAGGGAAATGAAATGCGGCCACAGACTCCCTTTGTGGTGAGCTCAGCAACTCAGGCTGTTTATTCTCAGCCTTGCTCTGAGTTCCCTGAAGGGTGTTCCTGCACCAACTGGGTCCCACATTATGCAAATCCTGTTCTCTTGCACAAAACGAATATGAAACACATTGTGAGCAAGATCAAGCTGGAATTCCCTATGCCCCTTAGGAAAAATCCAGTACAGATAAAGATCACTTTCTAGAGATGCCTTACTTCAGATACAAGTCAATGTTATTGATTTGACATTTATTCTGTTATTTTTGCTTCTTTATTTTCCCCCAAGTAATCTTTGAGAGATCTTAAAAAAAAAAAAAAAAATCTCTAGATGCAGTATCTGCCATGGCCTCTAGTCCTCTCTTCCTGCTGGTTTTATCACTGCTGTGCTCTGGTACACAGTTTATTGGTGAGGAAATTTAAATGTTTATTTTATCCTTTTGCTGCTGATTAAAATGCTTCTAATTTTTTGTCATGAGGTTTTGAAGGGTGCCTGCTTTTTCAAAGGCAGAGTGTACCATCTCGAATCTCGAGCGCATGTCTTACCCTAAAACAAAGGGCTGGTATGTTCAGCGCAGTATAAGCCACAGGGACAGAAACAAGGAACAAGGAACTGCCTCATCCCCAGCTCAAGTATGGCTTCCCTGGCCGGGAGTCAGATCTCAGGAAGCCAGCTGGGCGACAGCCTTTGCCCAGGTCGTGTCCACAGAACCATTCCTAGCATATTCCCAAGCATTGTCCTCTGCTCTCACCCCTGATCTCCAGGTTCTTATCTTCCGGCCACCCCTTTAGAAGCTTCAGTCTCTGACTTACAGATCTTGACTTTTCTCCTCTTCACTTTGATTCTCTGGGAAGAAAAACTCTGTCCAGCTCCTGCCCTGAGAGATCTCCTTTGCTCAGGCCAGGCCCCTATGCAGTCTTTCAGAAAAAGGATGAGATAAATACCCAAAGTGACCTGAAGTCCTAATATGCTCAGCTTACTTCAGAGTAATGAAATGTGGACTGCAAATATTTCAGGACAAAGAATGTTTTTCAGTAATAATTTATTCTATAATAAAGCATAACATAACAATGATTATACATCATCATCCATCATCATCATAATAGCTATACTTACATACGTAATAATGGTAGTTTGTATAGCCTGCTCTATCGTAAGCATTTTACCAGTGTTAACTCATTTAATCCTTCTACAACTTTTCAAACAAGTATTATTAGAATAAGGACACTGATACATACAGAGACCTCAAGAATCTGCCCAAAGTCGCCCAGGTAGTGGAGGGAAAAGACAGGGTTTAAGCAGTTAGTATGACTCATTAGCTGCCATTTTTAACTGTTTTACTATACTGTTTCCAGCACCAGACATTTTCATAATATGGTCTAGCACCTATTCTAACAAGAAGTTATAAACACTTACTGATGTAATGAAAACCTTCAGGGAATTGTTACCTAGGGAATAAACTTAATTTCAGGACAATTATTAAGAAATGTAATTTGAAACAATCTGTTCCTTTGGAGATTTTCAAATAAAAAAGTAAAATAGTAGAAACATATTTGTCCAGGAAAAGTTGGATATTGTATACCACTGGGTGGTTAATATTCATGAAATTTATTACTTGTAATACCTGAACTTTAAATATTAAGAGCCGCAAGTGTTGTTAATCTAAGATGTTTTGAATTTTGTTGAGTAAATTTTTAAAAATAATGACTCTAGTCAAGCTAACGTGGTGGCTAATGTGGCTGAATTCCACGTGGCCAACTGTTTGGCTCGTGTCCCAGACCCAGCAGCTTGAGGAACACACTTGGCCCATGTGCATGGGTGTCCAAGTGTGAAAAAAAGGAAAAATAAAATAAAAGGAACTGTGGTGTGACCCTTCTGTAAGAAAGGGTGCTTTCTCACTTTCTCTCTCTCTCTCTCTCTCTGTCTCTTTCTGGCAAGGGCAGGTGCCACTGGAAAAATTAAGGAATAAAAAAGGGCCGTAAAGATTAAACGTGGATCCAGTCCTATGGTCTAGTGGTTATGGAAACTGGGTGACAGGCTGGACACAGTTTGAGTTCCTGCCTGCCCTGGTGGCTTAAAAAACATTCTGGGAATACATGCATGCATGCCTCAAATCCTGATAGAATCAAGACATGGAGGAGAAGAGATTATAACATGACCATTTCCCATTGAGGGGTGCTTTCTCCTGCTCTCTCTCCTTTCTCTCTCTATGGCAAGTGTATGTGCCCTCCAGCAATAAAGAAACAAAACAAAACAAAACAGAAAAACAACCAGGATTTAGAGTTGGCTCATGACCTAGTGGTTAAGGTGACTGGGTCCCATGTGGTCAACTACATGATTCAAATTCTGAACTCTGTGGCTTGGAAACACGCTATGTAAATGTACATGCATGACTAAAATCCCAAAAGTAGGGAGAAATGGGGGAGAGGAGATTTTAACTTGACCCTAAAGTGTGGGGGTGCTTTCTCACCTTCTCTCTCTCTGTTTCCATCTTGCTGGTACACATGCCCTCTAGCAGATTAAAAAAAAAGATTTAAACATAAGAAATAAAGTCATCTGTTTTAAACTTCTGCCACTTTTTAAAAAATCAACTTACTATTTATGTAGTGTAAGTTACCATTTAAATACGTGACCAGTTTTATTGAGAATCTATAGGTCTAAAATGCATGTAATAAAATAGTGAACTCATTCAAAGTGAATTCTGATCAATGAGAATCATACCAGCGATTTGACTTTAGAGGTATATTTCTCTGTATTTCAAGAAGCAACTCTCCTAATTTCTTGCTATTCCAAATATAGATATTGAATGTGTCAGATAATTCTACCTTAGGGGAACCAAAAAAGTTATCTTGACTGGGATGTAAATAATCACATTGCTGTTGCCAAAGGCACTTGTTCTTGTGTAATGTGTTCTTCAATATGACAATAGTCTTGTTTTGTGTGTGTGGTCATAATGATTCTAATATGTTACTCAGTGATTTGTCTCAAGGGATTTAATGTCAGAAACAAACCATTTGCTTGCAGGCTGCAAGGTCACAGAACAGAAACCAACAAATACTTGTGCTAAAGAATTAGCGAAAGTATAAAATGATGTTTAAGGGGGAAAAGTATATTTTAACCAACCATCAACTATTTATAGTGAGGTTTTCTTTTGTTATTTTTTTCCCCAAACAACCTGTGGTTTTGAAAAACTAAGGACTTTTCCATAGAATGCTTTACATACACATTTTGAATGCAAACTCTAAACACTAAAGGAAAACTTGAAATGAAATAAAGATATCATTC